GAGAGTGACAAGGAAAATAGTCTGTACATGTTCAACATAATCGTAACCATTCACTCTTTTTTCTGAAATATTTTAGCCTTGGTTAGTTGAATCCACAGATGTGGAACCCTTGGATACAGAGGGCTGACTGTATTTTGTTGTGGCAGCCTGAGCAAAATAATACCTATTTTTGGTACTAAGAAGTGCAGTACTGCTACAACAAATAACTAAAAATGTGAAATAACTAAAAATATGGAAGTGGGTTTGGAACTGGGTAATGGGTAGAGAAAGGCTGGAAAAGTTTTAGAGTGCATGCTAGGAAAAGCCTAGATTGTCTTGAAGGGACTGTTGATAGAAATATGGACCAACAGGTGACTGAATTAAAGGTGACACTGGTAAGGGCTCAGAGAGAAAAGAGAGCCAGAGAGAAAGCCTCCATCTTCTTAGAGAACACATACATCATCGTCCACGATGACATCAAAGGCCATTCTAGTGATGGTCTCAGAAATGAGGAACACGTTATTGAAAACAAAGGTGATACTTGTTATTACATAAGTAGAAAGAACCTTTCATATCTGAGTCACAGCACCATTAGTTTTAATTAAATAAAATTTAAATTAAAAAAAGCAGAAAGGCGTACTGTGTTCTACTGCTCTGTGGAAGGCAGAAATTATGAACAACAAAATTGGATATTTAGCTGAGGAGATTCCAGAGCAAAGTATTAAGGAACATCTTGGTTTCTCCTTACTACTTAAAATGCAAGGAGAGAGATAAATTGAATTTTAAGCAGAAAGGAACCAGAATTTAAGATTTGGAAAATTCTCAGCCTATCTATATTGCAAAAAAAATCATGTTTTGAAGAAAACACTAAAGGTGTGGCTGAATAACCATTTAAGATCAAATTTAATCAGCCACCTCAGCAAAAGCCAAAAAAGGGATTATACTAGCAGAAATACTGCCAGCTGGGACAGAAAAAACAGAACAGAATGAAAGACAGCTGCAGGACTTCTGGGATTCTACCTGTAGTACTAGACAATAGAGCTATCTTTTTAAAAGGGTACAAAGATGCCTGTGAACCACAGACTGCCACTCACCCCACAGACCCAGAGGGCAGGGCTGGCTCCTTCTCCATCTCAAAAGGTGGGGCGCCTCTTCATTCAGGAGAGGCCAGAATGCCACGGACTGTGCCTCAGGGATAAGACTGAGGCCCAGTGCCCCAGAGTGACAGCACCATCTCAGTGGGCCTGGAGGGCACAGCATTGAATCAAAAAGGATAATGCTCAAGCCTTAAGACCTAATGGGCTTTGCCTTGCTATGTTTTGGGATTTACTTGGGACCTGTCATCCCTTCTTTCTGCTCTCTCCCTTTTAAAATAGGCATGTCTATCTCTTGCCTGTCCCACCACTGTATTTTGAAAGCACGTAACTTGTCTGGTTTTGCAGGTTCACAGCTGGAGAGGAATTCTGTCTCAGGATGTAAGTACCTCAAGACTCAGCCATATGTGATTTAGATTATATTTAAATAAGCCTTTAGGCCGGGCGTGGTGGCTCACGCCTGTAATCCTAGCTCTCTGGGAGGCCGAGGCGGGCGGATTGCTCGAGGTCAGGAGTTCGAAACCAGCCTGAACAAGAGCGAGACCCCATCTCTACTATAAAAATAGAAAGAAATTAATTGGCCAACTAATATATATATATAAAAAATTAGCTGGGCATGGTGGCGCATGCCTGTAGTCCCAGCTACTCGGGAGGCTGAGGCAGGAGGATTGCTTGAGCCAGGAGATTGAGGTTGCTGTGAGCTAGGCTGACGCCACGGCACTCACTCTAGTCTGGGCAACAAAGCGAGACTCTGTCTCAAAAAAAAAAAAAATAAATAAATAAATAAGCCTTTAAACTTTAGGCTTTAGAGTCCATACTGAAAGAAGTTAAGACTTTTAGGGCTGTTGAGATGGAATGGAATGTATTTGCATGTGAGAAGAACATAAATTTGGGGGAACAGGGGCGGAATGTTACAGACTGAATGCATGTGGCCCTCCCAAAATTCGTATGTTGAAGCTCTAAGCTCCAGTGTGGCTGTATAAGGAGTAAGACAGTAATTAAGATTAAATTGGGTCATAAGGGTGGGGCCCTAATCTGATAGGACTAGTGTCCTTATAAGAAAGGACACCAGAGAGCACTAGCACTCTTTCCCTACTCTGTACACACAGGAAGGAAAGGCCATGAGGACACAGCGAAGAGGGGCCTTCTGCAAGCCAGGTAGAGAGCCCTTATCAGAAACCAACCCTGTTGGACCTTGATCTGGGATTTCCAGCCTCCAGAACTGTGAGAAAATATATTTCAGTTGTTTAAGCTGCTTAGTCTGCAGTATTTTGTTATGGGAGCCTGAGCAGACCAATACTCTGACAAAAACTGGGAGCACTGAGGTAATGTGTTACTATATTAAGCTAAATTCCTCACCTGTAATAATAGAGTATAACAAAATGATATCTAAAATATACTGGCTAGTGTTATGATGATAACTACCAGAAAACCTAAAATCAATTATGAGAAAAGATGAGGGGATCCGTGGCAAAATTTTTACTTTTCATTTTTTATGCTTTATATAGTTTTTCTAAAACCATGTATATTACTTTCATTAACGATTTAAAAATTTAACATAATTTACAAAAACAAGTTAAAATATAGTATCATTCAGGTCTACTTTTATGATTTTTGCTATATGTATCCTTGCTTGTCAATTTTCAATCAACATTTTTTAACCTGTATCAATTGATTTTACTTTATTTTCAACTAAAACTGTTTATAGTTATATTTTTCTGATATACATTAAAATGTTATTATTTAAAATGTTCATCATGTAACAACTATCACCTCATGTTCCAAGAATAATGTAGAGGTCGAGGTCACACTTTGGAAAACACTACTTGATACATTTGTCATTATTTATCATGGTGACTTAAAATCATAGTGACCATATGAGATAATGAATTCCTCTCTTATTTTTTCTAATTAAATCCCTCCACAAGTTACATCACTGATAAAATTTTAAAAATCTGAGAATTTGAATTTCCCATATTAGAATTAGATTACATCCACTATAACATAAGAACAATTCACATATCTAAAAGTTAAAGTTTCAACGAGTAAGATGTGCAACGTTTGGGGGATGGACTTGCTTGAAGCTCTGACTCAAGGGGGAAGAAGGGGCATGGGCAATATACATAACCTTAACACTGGTACCCCCATAATACGCTAAAATAAAATAAATAAATAAAAAATAAAAGTTAAAGTTTAAAAACGTTTAGAGTTGTTAAAACCAAATGCTTGCTGTTTTTTTAAAAAATGCAGAAAATAAAGTTTGTCATATGAGTTTAGCTAAATAAAACAATGTAAATAATGCCTTTGTTTTTATCATGGTTAAGTTGTCCAATACAACAATTAATTTATTTAACTAATGGGTAACCAGTGCCTATATGCAAGCCACTCTGCTAATTACTGGGAATGCAAAGACTTGTTAAAATTTACTATAAGAATTTAAGGCATAGCTCGGGTGCAGTGGCTCACACCTGTAATCCCAGCATTTGGGGAGGCCGAGATCAGGAGTTTGAGAAAAGCCTGTTTGAGAAAAACAGTGAGACCTCATCTCTACAAAAAATAGAAAAATTAGCCAGGCATGGTGGCATGTGTCTATAGTACCAGCTACTTAAGAGGCTGAGGTAGGAGGATGACTTGAGCCCAGGAGTTTGAGGTTGCAGTGAGTTGTGAGGACACCACTGAACTCCTTCCTGGGCAAGAGAGTAAGAACTTGTCTCAAAAAAAAAAAAAAAAGAATTTAAAGAATAGGCCAGGTGCAGTGGTTTATGCCTGTAATCCTAGCACTCTGGGAGACCAAGGTGGCAGGATCATTCAAGGTCAGGAGTTGGAGACCAGTCTGAGCATGAGCAAGACCTTGTCTCTACTAAAAAAAGAAAGAAAGAAATTAGCCAGACAACTAAAAATATATGGGGAAAAAATTATTAGCCTTGGCCGGGCGCGGTGGCTCACGCCTGTAATCCTAGCTCTTTGGAGGCCGGAGCGGCGGATTGCTCAAGGTCAGAGTTCAAACCAGCCTGAGCAAGAGCGAGACCCGTCTCTACTATAAATGAAAGAAATTAATTGGCCAACTGATATATATATAAAAAAATTAGCCGGGCATGGTGGCGCATGCCTGTAGTCCCAGCTACTCGGGAGGCTGAGGCAGAAGGATCGCTCGAGCCCAGGAGTTTGAGGTTGCTGTGAGCTAGGCTGACGCCACGGCACTCACTCTAGCCTGGACAACAAAGCGAGACTCTGTCTCAAAAAAAAAAAAAAAAAATTAGCCGGGCATGGTGGCACATGCCTGTAGTCCCAGCTACTCAAGAGGCAGAGGCAAAAGGATTGCTTGAGCCCAGGAGTTTGAGGTTGCTGTGAGCTAAGCTGACACCATGCACTCTAGCCCTGCAAGACTCTGTCTCAAAAAAAAAAAAAAAAAAAAGATTTTAAATAATAATGAGAAATATTGAGAAATGCCCCTCAATAATGGTATACTTTATTGAATTTAAAGTGGTTCATCTCTCAACGACTTAGAAACTAGTAGAAAGTCTCAACTTTGACCAAAATCTTTGGCAAAACTCAAAACAAGACTTATTCCTTCTTCAAGTCTTGGTTTAAAACAAAAGCATAGTACAATCTGTGGATTTTGATATCTGCAGGTGGTCCTGGAACCAATCCCCCACAGACACTGAGGGACAATTATGTTTCAAATGACTATTTAAATCTCTCTTTCTTATAAAAATTATATGTGGCTTCCTTAGTCAAGTCTTTTAGGCTATGAACTTTTTGTAAAGTTATTGGGAAAGACTTTATGTGATAATAATAAAACATTTGCTGTAACTTTATTATTTTGTAAAAGTCTTTATGATGTAAAGGGAATTGGCTGACTTTGCATATTGAAACTGAAATATAAGAAAACAAAAAATAAATAAAAAACATAGTACACTAAGCATATATCAAGTATGCCCTAAGCATTCATATTTATTTAGAGAATAAATATGCTTTGGTCCATTTTTCAGCAGTCTATCCATATACCAGAATTCTTATATTTTAAATATCTAAAGCACATGTTTTCTTGGTAAGAGACGAAAAAAACTGAATTACTAACACAGAAGAAATTATTTTTCATCGACCTATATCCACTCCTCTTAAAAAGCATGCCTTCAACTTCTCATTGCATGGCTCCTTTGCTAATTTTTCACCATCACCTCTTGTAAATGTACTTCCCTCTTTCTCTGAAGACATCTGTCTTCACTGACATTTAATCTTTCATAGGGAGCAAAGGAAGTGAGCTCTCCAGTTCAATCAACCTTGTGTGGAAGAAGAGGCCCTGTATAGCCCCTAAATTAGTCTCCTGGTACCCCTGCAGAGCCCAGAGCTGCAGTTCACTTCAGTTGTTTATTATGGTTCAGCATCAGCTTCAACTGAGCCTCTGTAAAGCAAATGGCCTCCCCAAAGTCTGAATGGTATATTGGTTACACCTGGGGAGCAGCATCCTTACACCTAAAAGAATACTTTTCTACTGATAGTCATTTTGTCCAAGGAGAATAAATTACTGGTTTATTTTAATTAAATGGTTTTATAAAAGATGTGTTTATGAAGGAAAAATTCTTGTAAATAACCAAGTAATCAAACTCATAATGAAACTGAATATTTATTTGAATTTCTCCTGGTAATAGCACTCAACATGTAAGAAAAACAAATCAAGCTGTGAGATTTTGTTTTAAATGTAGACATTTTTCAAAAAGGGAAACGTTGGTTTCTGTATTTAATAGCAACAAGTGGGACATCTATTTTAAAACTACCATTCAAAATAGTGTTTTTAAGAAATATATACTATTAACATGATGTGTTTTACAGAATAGATACATATATGAATGCCAATATGAATGTGAAAGAAATATATATGTTTTAAAAAACACATGGGAAAACCAAATGTTTTTATAAAAAGTAGCTTGAAATAAAAAAGAACTTGCTAATAAACCCAGTAAACTTTCACACATGGGCACATGGAATATTATTTTTAAATCCCCACCCATTTCGCCTCTGCAAAAAAAAGAAAGAAAAAGAAAGGGAGAAAGAGAGGGAGAAAGAGAGGGAGAAAGAGAGAGAGAGAGAAAGAGAGAGAAAGGAAGGGGAAAAAAATGGTCAATTTGAGTACAGCCATCACATGACCACTAATTTCCATACAGCATGGAAGCCTGGTTACACAGTCAATATTAACTTCCTAAAGTGCATCTTTTGAAGACTTGTCTAGCAAAACTGCAATATCAAATACAAAACACTTAACACAAGACATGCAATAACAAAACTAAATCATATAGTGTAAAGTTTTTAAAACTACTTTTAAAGCTTTTGATTCACCAAAGAATAAAGATGTCAAATACAGTAGCATTCTCATTCTCCAATGGTATGCATTATATGCTTTTGTTATTTGGCTTTGGCAAATCTTTTGGAGTCGGACAAAAATAATGCAGTCTAAACAATATTTCTTCTTTTGTTATAATACGATTCCTCAGGCAGAACAGTAAGATGCAGAGGAAGAGTTAGATTTTTGGAAGTTTTGGTGCATTAATCACAGGATTTGCCTCCTGCAAGTATCTCCTCCCTGCACTCTTGTAATCATAGGTGCAGCCGTGAGTTTCTGCATAGCGATGAGATGCACAGAAGTTCTTTCCACATCTAAAGTACAAAAAAAGTTTACATGAATAGTCACATTTCTATGAAAGGCTCATCTCTTTGGGAGAGAGGAGCTTGACTTCAGGTAGTCCAACAGGAGCCCTTTGGTTCACTTTAGTGCTGACATTTCCCCTCCACTCATAAACCAGCACAAACATCCCCCAAAGAACACATTGTCTATGACTATGAAGTTTATAATCAAGAATCCATTACAGAATGAAATGGGGTATAGATCTTTATGAGTAGTAAAACTGCAAAAGCTCACAAATATGCCCACTACTTCTCTTATACCTAGTAAATGTGAAAGAACTCTGAATTTCTCAGAAATTCAGTCTCATGAGAAAATTAAATTTTATAAAATCAAACTATGGCATGAAATGATTTTTAAAAATATTTCTAGCAGGAGGATAAGCTGTATTTATTTGAATAGAATGCACTCTAAAAAGCACCAGTTATTTTCAATGCCTGGCCTCAACCTAGGGGCAGGCACCATCTTTGGAGGATATTAATCGATGCTAATGAAATAAATAATTATGGGAAGAAAAATTCATTATTTCTTGGAAATACATTATTCATCTATTTTGAAATAAAAGTGTACCATATAACTGTTAAAAATAATAGTTCCTTTTTTTGGTTCAATTAAAAATAGAATCTTGAGGGAGCAGTTCTTCCAGGCAATGATCAAACAAAAATCAAGTAAGTTTTTCATAAGACAAGGTATACTCTCCCACTGGTTTAAATCTCCTAATTTAAAGGGCAGGGGACAATCTGAGCTTGCCTTTTGAAAACCCATAACCTATCTACTAGTTCTTTACTTCAGTCAATTAGGAGTTCAACTAAAGGTTGCTATTTAACTTTTTTTATTTTTTGATACAGGGTCTTGCTCTGTTGCCCTGGCTAGAGTACAGTGGTGTTATCATAGTTCACTGCAACCTCAAACTCCTGGGCTCAAGCGATCCTCCTGCCTTACCTCCCAAGTAGCTGGGACTACAGGCATGCGCCACCATGCCTAGCTAATTTTTCTGTAGTTTTTGAAGATAGGGTTTTGCTACATTGCCCAGGCTGGTCTCAAACTCCTGGCTTCAAGTGATCCTCCCACCTCAGCCTCCCCAAAGTGCTAGGATTACAGGTGTGAGCCACCTCACCCAGCCAACATTATCTTAATGATGTTATGAATGGCCAATTTAAATAATGTTTTATTTTGCATAATCCCCAAGCTGGGTCACCACAGAGAAAGCATCTCAGCTTCTCTAGCTGGACAACCTGCCTGCATTCGTAGCTAGTAGCCAGTCCTGTTTTCTTTCCACAAAGAAAACAATGCTTTTTTGTTTTCTTCTTTGTTTGAATAGGGGCTTTCACAGGTGGGAGGTGATGAGTACATTCTCCTGTTTAGAGAAAGGACACCTTGATTAACACAGGCATAAAATTCTAAATGTGAAATACTATTAAGCAAACATAAAACGCATTCCTATCAAAGTAAACATTAAGCCATAAAAATTAATTTGTAATATTTTTTTTTTCAGAATGTAATATTTTTATATCTGAAATTATTTCCAGAATCTACAAGTGAAGGTGCAGTAAAACTTTTTTTAAGGATGTGGTAGGTTTCTACTGATTAGGACTTATATATTTAAGAGGTTTTGTACATATCACCTTTCTGATTATTAAGGGCAAGCAGTTCATATAAAATATACCAAACTTTCACAGAGAATCAAGAAAATGTCTATTTCTAAATCATATTTGATGAGACCTCTGAGAAAAAAGGAATTGCAATACAATCATTCTATTCATTCACAACCAGAAGGAACACCAGAGTATCACGAAACTGGTCTTTTAGTCCTGATTACACCATAGAAAGTAAATTCGTCAAACCATGAGCAAGTCATTTATTCTTTCAAAACTTCAATTTGTTCATTTTTAAAGATAACAGAACATGTATTTTCCTCCCAAGGTGACAAAGTGCTTTAAAGCTGCAGTCTGTGGCCTGCTAGGAACTGGGCCGCACAGCAGGTGAGCACCAGGCTAGCCAGTGAAGCTTCATCTGTACTTACAGCTGCTCCCCATCACTCGTATCACCACCTGAGCTCCACCCCCATCAGATTAGTGTGGGCCTAGATTCTTATAGGAGCGTGAACCCTACTGTAAACTGTGCATGCAAGGGATCTAGGTTGTGCGCTCCGTACAAGAATCTGATGCCTGAAGACTTGAGGTGGAGCTGAGGCAGTGATACTAGCAGTGGGGAGAGGCTACAAATACAGATTATCATTAGCAGAGAGGTTTGACTGCACAATAAATGCAATGCACTTGAATCATCCTGAAACCATCCTTGCCCCCTGCCACCCCAGACCATGGAAAAATTGTCTTTCATGAAACCAGTCCCTGGTGCCAAAAAGGTTGGGGACTGCTGCTTTAAGGTCAAACAAATTTATATATATATAAAGCAATCTGAAAATTTTAACTATGTTATAATTATATAAAATATCACATTACCAATATGACTAACACAGTACATGGCTCAATTTCACAGTACTACTATTTTTCCAAAAACTACTGAATTCTGTACTATTGTACCAACTTGATTTTTTATCCTAAAAATCAAAGCACATCTGTTATAAGAAAGAATTAAATCTGTTTCTTTCATTACTAAGTGAAATGTCTTTCAGAATTGATCAAAATGCCAGAAAACCCCCATCATAAGCAGACAGGTTCAAAGTTACTGTCTGCAGTTGTTAGAAAACCAGTACAAGTACACAAATGGTTGGTAGCACTCAAAGGGTGAGAAATGAGAGGCAAAGAAAGCAAGCAAGAACAAGCGGAAGGAATGGGAAGAACAATGGTAGTGTCAGTGATGCTGGCACCTAATCTCCACTACTGAAAAAAGTTTGAGAGGCCTGAATTTAATGTTTATTTAGCAGCTAGAAATCTCTGAAAATCCTTCAAGAGTTTAAAAATTGGATTTACAATTAATTGGTGTGATGCTTTTTGTCAGAACCCAGATTGGGTGCTTGGTATGCAAACCCCACAAAATTAAGTCTGCCTTATTACCTGTCTAAAATACTCTCCCAAGTCTTTCACAAAACTGAAAACAAAATTTGAAACTAACTTTGAATGACTCCTAATGGTGCCTTGCTACCAACTCAGTTAATAAGAGCTTGCTTTCTCAAGTATACTTAAGGGACCAAGAACATTTCACAAAGGTGATGGAGTGCTTTCCACTTCTTAAAAAAGGCATTTGCACAGGACACAGAGGGAAGGCATATATTATAGGCTATCCAGTGAAAGGTCATCCACTCAAAATCATTTTTTTAAATTCACTCTTAGGATATTCTTCCTCCCTTAAACAATGGGGGAAGAATCTGTTGAGGATAATTTAGTTTGATAGTTACATTTTCATATTTCCTTTCCTTTGGGGATGCCTAACTCAATGTTTTCCAAATGTTTTTCATTCAAGAACTCTTGTAAATGTACAGAGACAAAGAACAAATTAGTGACACAGAAATGATGTGGCACAAAAACATAACAGCATCTCCTATGAAAATGGTTTCCATACATCCTTCTACCCAGTGAAAACTATTTATTAGTCAACTGCTCCATGCCAGAAACCATCATTAATATTATATTTGTTCCCTATATATTGTCCCCAATAAGAAAAATCTAAATTCCCTGGACTGGCATTCAGGGTCTTATGTGCTCAACATGATAGCTTCTAACTTTTCACAGTCATTTCCAATTATTTACCACATCATACCCACCCCGAATGATGCCAGATGCACTCACACATCCACAATGTCTTCTTCTAAAATGCTCTATTGCACCTTGTCAACCTAATGAAATTCTTCTTATACTGTAATACATCATCAATCATCAGCTTCTCTCTGAAGCCTTCTCAATGTGTAATGAACATATGAATAAAGAAAAATTCTATAAAATAATATCAATGTGAAGAGTTGCTTTTCAGAACAAGATGAAAAATATTTGTAATAATTCACTTGTTTGGCATTTCCTAGTCTAATATTTGATCTAACATGGGCGCCCTCATACTACGGCCCGCGGGCCACATGCCGCCGGCCTAGGACATTTATCAGGCCCACTGGGTGTTTTTGCTACACTGCCTGTCCTACTTAGCAGCCGACTCATCCCAGGCCCACAGTGCGCACTCTCCAATGGTCTGAGGGACAGTGAACTGGTCCCCTGTTTAAAAAGTTTGAGACCCCCTGATCTAACATGATGATCTATAAAAGTATCCAACAGAAAGGCAGCCAAAAAAGTAATAAATTAGTGTTCTAGATGCAAGTTTGGTAATTATCTGCCTAAAAATGATGGCTAAAACTATGAGAATGGATAAAACTATGGAGAATGGTCTCTCCCATGGGAGACCCTATAGTGAAAAGAAAAGAGGACCAATGGAGGAATTTGTAAGTCAATTAAATAAAATTCACACCAAAATTTACACGGAATCTGCTAGGTCATTCAGAATGATGTAGTTAGTGATTACTGTGAGAGGAAATGGCTGCAAGTCACATAGTTCTAGTGACCTGGGGAATTATCACTGTAGGTACCAGCTGATGCCTAGAGTCTAAATGAAATTATATTTAAAAAGTATGTATCTGAGGATAAGCAGAGGACTGGTTTTAAAAAAGTAAAGACAAAGAAAACTGACGTAAAAAAACAAAACACAAACCAAAATAAAAATCCACATGATAGCCCAGAACTTTTTTAAAAAGAAAGAAAGAAAACCTATTTCAAGAATGAGGACCACAAAAATCAAATAAGATAAGGATGCAGAAGCACCCACTGGATTTGAAATTATGGAGATCCTTGGTGAGCTCAGCAATAGTAGTTTCAGAGAAGGAATGACAAGAGAAGTGAGAAAGCACTGACGTCTGCATCAGAACTGAGCTAACACAGGTGAATGCAATGCAAATTTCCAAGAGGCTTACCTATGAGTTAGGGCAGGATGGACTCAAGTTCATGTTAAGGAGAAACAACTATAACGTTAAAAGTGGATATATTATACTAATCAAAAGTGCAGGGCTGGGTGCTGTGCCTCACACCTATAATCCCCGCACTTTGAGGGGCCAAGGCGAGACGATCACTTATGGCCAGGAGTGTCAGACCAGCCAGGGCAACACAGTGAGACCCCATCTCTACAAAAAAATTAAAAAATTAGTTGGGTGTGGTGGGGCACACCTGTAGTCCCAGCTACTCAGGAGGGTAACTTGAGCCCAGGAGTTTGAAGTTGCAGTGAGCTATGACCACACCACTGCACTCCAGCCTGGGTGACAGAACAAGATCCTATCTCTTAAAAAAAAAAAAAAAAAAACAGACAACAGTGTGGTATGGGCATAAAGATAGACACATAGCCAATGGAACACAAACACAGCCCAGAAACAAACCCTTGCACATATGGTCAAATGACTTTCAACAAGGATGCCAAGACCATTCAGTGGGGAAGGATACTCTTTTCAACAAAAACTGGAAGTCCACATACAAAAGAATGAAATTAGAATGAAATTGGAATATCAGCCTTAAAAAAGAAGAAAATTATGACACATGCTACAACATGGATAAAACTTGAGGACACTATGATAAGTGAAATAAGCCACTCACAAAAATACATATATTGTATGATTCTGCTTATATGAGATGCTGATTACTTCAAAAATCATAGAGAGAAGAAATAGAATGGTGGTTACCAGGGGCTGGCGGTGGGGTGGGGTGGGGCGTAACAAGTTAGTATTTAATGAGTACAAAGTTTCAGTTTTACAAGATGAAAAGTGTTCTGGAGAAGGATGGTTGTAATGGTTGCCCAACAATGTGAATGTACTTTATGCCACTGAACTGTACACTTAAAATGGTTAAAATGGTAAATTTCATGTTATGTGTATTTTACCACAATAAAAAAATTGAAAAAAATAAGTAGATATATTAAGACTTTATAACCCTGGGCCTTTCACAGAAATGAAAAACGAACATTAAGTTTCTCTTTAAAAACATAAAACTCACATAACAACCATAATATATACAGTATCTTTAAAACCGCAGGGCTACAAAAGTGGCCGGTCTTTGGTAATGAGTTTCCTACCCCGGCTGACACATCTTCAAGGTGTGATTACTGGAAGAAGGGCTAATGTTATAGTCATTTTTGCTACTGTGCCTTGGAAAGGGCTGGTCCTAGAGACTGTCTTCTTTTATCCAGAAATAACCAGTTCTTCAAAAATAGATTCTTAACTACCGCCCTTGCTACTGAACCACGATGTTAAAAAAACATCTTTCTAGGGTGATTCCTCAAAACCCACATGGCCCCATAGTGGCCAGTGACTAAGGGGTTGGGAACTATATGTTAATTATTCAATAATCTTGTTTTGTTCACATAGATCATACCCCTTCCCAGACAAGAGATCTACTTCAATTTTTATTTAATTCTTCATATATGTCCCACAGTCCTACAGATTCTCATAATCATTTCTTAATTTTAAAAAAGTTTGAGTTTACTCTTTTTTTACAGAAATTATAATTTTAAAATTCTTTAAATCTTTTTTTCTTCTTTTTTTCTTTTCTCCTCAAGTTTATTAGAACGGCACATGAGAGTTTACTCTGTACATACCCCAGAGGACGTTCTTTTCATTTCTATTTGAAAATTCAGCAGTATGTATATGATGATGTCATTTTAAGCCTTTTATTGTTTTCAAAATTATCTGTAACTCACCTACTCTTTTCCCTGCTGCTGCATTATTTCCATTCATTCCAATACCACGGGCAGACTACAATTAAAACACAAAACATCTACAAAGGTGAGTCAATGGAGAAAGGAAGAGATCAGCAAACATGAAATACTTGTATTTTATTACTAAGATGCTGTTGGGCTTTCATTTTAAATTATATAATTTTTATTCAATTAAATTAACTTTGAACCTGTTTCTTACATCTAGCAATACTGCATTACTTATCTTTAAGAGAGTAAAATTTGATGGCTCAAAATTGATAGTTCTTACTTGAAAAAAACATAAAAAATATTTAGCTTTTAAAAATATATTATAAACTGTTCACATGAACTTATTTTCAAATTACAGTCCTCAATTCAGAAATAAAACTTAAAACGTAATCATTAAAAAGATTTTCCACAAATCGGATAAACATTTTCAGAAATGAAATGAAAAAAATCTAATCTAAGGCCTCCTATTTATGTAAACAAAGAACAAACTTTAAATATGTTAAATCGCCACAAGGTAACTAGCACACAATGTTGAAAGGAAAATACTTACTAAAAAAAATTCTGTAGGTTCTAATTGGGGAGAACTTTTCTTAAGGCTTTCTTCTTGAAAATGCTGGAGGTTTGTAGACAGCCCAATTCCAGAAGTCCGAAGCCTGCCTGCCCCACGTGTGCTCTGTAAACTGTCTCTGCTTGCACTCCCGGCCAGTGAAGCAAGAAAACCAATGTTATTTACACAACCAACAGGCTCTTTGGAAGCCTTGTTAGCCATTTCTGTGATATCTCGAGCCTCAACTTTGGAAATAATATCAGATCTTTTCCCAGATGAATCAACTTTAACACCTCGAAAGCGAGCAGTCCTAGAGAAAGGAGAATCAGTTATGTTTCGAACATCCATTGACCGGAGCACATTTTGTGAAGCAGAAGACTGGAGGTTCCCAGACTCAAAACATTTGGACTGTCTCTGTGGTTTCACTAGAGAATTATGTAGTGACATTGATGCAGAACAGCGAAGAGGTGACAAGAGTCTATTCTTGTGAGGACTTAATTCACGGTGGTTAAGAACAGTAGTCTCTACTGATTCACTGCTCAACATTCTTGAAACATGTTTAAGATGCTGTTCTGTAGCCTTCAACCCTTTATCACCATTAGTGAGTAAGAATTCTGAATTTACCTTCTGTATGCCACTGCTCTGTTCTTCAGCATTTCTTTCTGTAAATGAAGTACATGAACCCACTTCAGGTAGAAGTGAGTCTTCAGTTACACACTCTTCTGAAGTTGGAAATGAGACAGTGTCATCCTCATTATTAGATGTCAAGTTTCCTGAAAAATGTTTTGTCCGCCTAGTCAGGGATGATCCAAGATGGAGAACAGAATCAGCAAGCTCTTTGTCATTTTCAAACTCCACATGGGGTATGTGCAGTGGTAGTTTGATGCTACCATTGGAATGAGACAGTGTGTTACTCTCCCAGTTATCATCTTCCTTAAGGAATTCACTAGTGATAGATGATATGGGTCTGTTGGCAGGGGGCTGAGTTGCCAATGTTGAAACTGCACTCCTGGATGTGTCAGGTAGATATGTATTCCCAGGAGAAGGTAAACAAGATTGCCCGATGTGGGGGAGGACCCTTAACAATCTGTGACGAGCTGTTGCTGTGGAACCACTAGATGGTCGAGGAGCAATAGGTGGGCGAGGTTTTACTTTGACAGCTTTCTTAGGCTAAAAGAAAAGAGTGAATACATAATGTCTTTACGTAGTCATTTTCTCTGCCCATGTACAAAAATTAATGGAGAAAATGTTACTTACCATAACATATTGGAATTTTATTACCTCAATTTAGAATGTTTAAAAAGATTAAAATCTTAAGATTATGACTGAGAAGAATTTTGCTATCATCCCTGAGTATAATTTTCTGAGAATGTTAAAGAAAAAGAATTTTGTTTATTTCCTCACTATTGATTATTTCTCAGAGTTTTACTGAGAAGAAAACAAACTGATTATATTAGACATGAGATTGCTGACCTATTATTAGATCCCCAATAATTTTTCCTAGTAGGATGAATAAATGTTTGACAATGTAGGTATGCAGGAAAAAATAGTTGACAGGCCTCAATTGCTGCTATCCTTGAAAAGACTTGCTTGCAATGTTGGCCCTTGACTGGCTTCTGGGAACTTGTATTTCAGGAGGATTCCCATCAACCTAACTGATAAGAGAGGCTCATTGGGCCTTAACAGTGCAACAATATGGTTTATGCTGAATACTTGCTTTCCTTCTGGTAGTCTGTAATGTACATGTTAGGCAGAGGGTGCCATATGAGCAGGCCAAATAAAATTCCTGGGCACAGAGTCTCTAATGAGCTTCCCTGGCAGAAAACATTTTACATGTGCTGTCACAACTCATCGATGGAGGAATTAAGCACATTAAGCACATCATTCTCCATTGAACAAGGACTCTAGGAAGCTTGTGCCTGATTTCCCCTGGACTTGGCTCTGTGCACTTTTTCTCCTTGCTGATTTTGCTTTGTATTTTTTCATATAATAAATCTTAGCCATATGTATAACAATATACTATATATAATATTAATACTATAGTCCTGTGAATCTTCTTAGCAAATCATCAAATCTGGTGGTCTTGGGGGTCCCTTGGCACAGGTTTTAACAAAAGTATCACAAAAATTTATGATCTTATGGATAAAGTCAAGATTTAAAGATAAGAAAACTTTAGCTCTTAACAAACAAAATGGTAGTGAGCAGGCATCAGGATAGGATGGAATGTCTGACAACATAACAACATTCTCACTTAAAAGAAATGTAAAATATATTAAAATGTAAGAAAAGCCAGATAACTCAGTGGATACTAGTTGAGGCAAGAATAACTGGAAGAGCTAAAAAGGAAGAACTTTGGAAAGATGAACTGGCTCCTATAGCTGTTTGTTTGCTTCTAAGACAGTTTCACGCTGTTGCCTGGGCTAGATTGCAGTGGTGTCATTATAGCTCATAGCAACCTCAAACTCCTGGGTTCAAGCCATCCTACTGCCTCACCCTCCTAAGCAGCTGGGACTACAGGAACATATCACCACACCTGGCTAATTTTTCTAAATTTTGTAGAGACAGGGTCTCATTCTTGCTGGTCTCAAATGCCCAACCTCAAGTGATCCTCCCACCTCAGCCCCCAGAGTGCTAGGATTACAGGTGTGAGCCACTGTGGCCAGCCTTATGTCAGCTTTTATCTTAGGGCCAATTGTCTTGCAATACGGAATCTACAATTCCGTATCCAAGCAAAAATATTCTTCAAAAATGAAGGTTATAACTTCTGGGTTGTAGAGATTAATGGCAGTTACCTAAATCTGAATTTCTCCATGAATCCTTCAAAAAAGCATACAAATCAACAACATAAACAAATAAAATCACTCATAATTCATGTCTTCAGCAAAACTGGGAGACGTGTGATATGGACTTCAAATTAGCTATAAGTAGGAAAACACCCAAATCCAGGAGACTCGTCTACAAAGCCTATGACTCTGATGAGAGACAGGCAAGAGTGTGGAGCTTCACAAAAAAGAACAGAAAAAAACAAAAAAGAGAAAGAGAGAGAGGTGTTGTGAATAAAGTAGGGTGGATGGAACAAAGATAAACCTACAAAAGAGAAAATCCCATTTGATTATGAAAATACTGAAAATAGGTCTAAGATCTGGGACATTAAACATGGGCTAGTAGTAAATTAAAAGGATGTGACTAAAATTTGTTCAGGACCCAAGGAGATAGCTTCAAAAAGGTACTATTTTTAGGGGAGAAGGTATAATTGAAAGGAAAAGGCACCCTTGAGAACTTGATAATGAACGTAAAGAAAGAAGCAGGAAGGGGAAAGTAAGGGTACTACAGAAACAAAAGTGAATCACAAATTAGAAAACGCACTGACCTTGCCCTCCAATAAAAGTGCCATTGATTTAAAAAACTGCATTTCACTATAACAAGAGAATAGAGTGCACCTGAAATAAGACACTTACTTCCCTACCCAAAATCTTCACTTCATATAACTGTTAATGCTTACCTGAGTAAATAAAATTATGAAAACTAAAACCAGAAAATAAACAGGAAAAGGGAGACCAAATCCACACACAACTACTATGAGAATCACGACATTTCAGCTAATGAACATTCTCCCCCAAAACAATAAAGCAAAAGAATACTACATCACAATGCTCCAACCTAAATTAAATATCCTAAAGTTATTATTTGCATATTTTTTAAAAAATCATATCAAATCATAAATCCAAAAAATCAAGACACAATGGATAGGGACTAAAAAAAAAAGGAAGATATGAAATGAGAGCTACCAAACCTAGAAATACTCCGAATAAAATGACATCATCTGAGAAATGAAAACTAAATTACAAGGTGCCCAAAGGAGACTGGATTCTACTGAACATTTAATAAAGAATACTGAAGAAGATGAAAACAGCCAAGAGAATAAAAATGAAATAAAGAATTTAAAAGTATAGGAAAGAAAGTGGTTGTATAGAAGACAGAAGTTCCAATATATGTATGAAGGAAGTCCCTAAAAAAGAAAAAAAAAAGAAACAAATGAATTAAAACACTGAAAAATTAATACATAAACTATAAGAAATCATCCTGAAATAAAAGACTTGAATCTTCATGATAAAAAGGCTCAAGTGTACAGTGAAAAATGACCCAGAATGGTCAATTCCAAGACATAGCCTAGTAAAACATTAACTTAAAAAAAAAATCTTCATTTTCTCCAGATAAAAAGATCATGTCATTTGCAAAGAAAAGAAAGTTAGATCGGCAATTAGATTTCTCAGCTGTAATAAACAAAGCAAAACAATAGCACAGCAACATTTTAAAGAAACTCAAGGGAAAAAGTATGAACTAGGCATTATATCTCCTGCCAAAGCTGTTATTTAAAAGGTAAGGCTAAGAACAGTTTTGAACATGGAAAAATTCAAGAATTACTGTAATTACAAGCCTTTCCTGAGAAGTTTACCAGAGATAAGCTTCATCTATCCAACAAGTATGGGGAAACTTCAGCAAAAAGAATGATAGTAAGAACGGGATATACTTTATTAAAACTAAAACAAAAATAAGGACAAAGATGAAAAATGATTTATAAATGTTATATTTTCAAAAAAGGTACAAATAATGCAAATTTTAAAATGAGAGAAGAAAGGAAGAGAAAAAAGAAAAAGTAAAATAAGTTTGTTGACTGTCACTTATTAATAAGTATGGGCCAAGTATGGTGGCTCATGGCTGTAATCCAGGCTAAGGTGGGAGGATGGCTTGCGGCCAGGAGTTCAAGACCAGCCTGGACAACATAGTTAGACACTTATCTCTACAAAAAATTTTTAAAAATTAGCTAGGTATGGTGGCACACACCTATAGTCCTAGCTAACAGGAGGCTGAGGTGGTAGGATAGCTTGAGCCCAGGAGCTCAAGGTTATAGTGAGCTGTGATTGCACCAATGCACTCCAGCCTGAGTGACAGAGAGAACCTGTCTCTTAAAAAAATAAAAACAAAAAGAAAATGTTCTAGAATTAGTAGTGATGGCTGCACAACCTTGTGAATGTATTAAAAACCACTGAATTTTATACTAAAAAAAATAAAAACAATGTAGGAATAAAAATATATTTAAAGCTGGCAAATAAAAAAGTAGAAGGTTAAGTAGGGAAAGGGTAGATCAAGGACATGATTAACAGTATTAATATAATTAATAGAAGAAAAAGTAAAAGCCTGCTGAAATACCAAAAAATATATAGTCACAAACCCACATATACACTTAAGAAAACAGACCATAGAGAAAGACTCTGCAAATATAACAAAATAAATAAGGAGACATTTGAGACCAAATATGAAAGTCATATCAATAAATGTAAATGTGAATAAGTTAGCTATTTTTTAAAATTTCAAATTGACTCACATAGCAAACCCAACTCTACGCTACATATATAAGACATACAAAAGTTAATAAATAAATGTATGGGAAAAGGTTTACCAAGCAAATGAAAACAGTAAGATATCAGGGGTATGGGCTTGGTATCTGATAAGGAAAATTCAAGAGAAAAGTCAGTGAATGTAACAGAGATGAAACACTTCATAACTTTTAGAATTAACAGCACAACAAAAACATAACATAAATATTAAGATTTATGTGCCAAATCACACAGCAAATACTTTCTTATAGCAAAAACTATGGGAGATAAAAAGAGAAATACATACAAATCTACTAACAATAGACTTTCGCCTAGCACTGTTCTCATACTAAGAGAGATCAAGTTGGCAAAAAAATAAAAACCAAAAGTCCTAAAAACCAATCAATAAGGTCAATCTTATAGATATCTATCAAACTTTTACCTTGATGATGGAAAATAAACTGCTTTCTGAAGTATGCATGGAACATTAATGAAGTGATATTAGATCTCAAAGGATAAGAGTCTATAAAGTAGAAATATAAACATTTTCTTTTTTCCATGCAAACTATAAATTTAAAAATAATTAAAAATCTCAAAACCTCTACCACCAGGAATTTTTTTAAATCTATTAAACAACTCTCAAACTAAAGAAGAAATACCAACTAAAGTTGTGAACTTTCTAAAAAAAATAATGAAAATACTACAAATTGCCACTACATTCCTCTTAAGGTTTTGCAATGAGGAGAATAATACATCATCTGTGTAATATTCCTGCCAAAAATGTTTAACCTG